TGGGGGCGGGGTGGGGCTAGGAGTAGAAGGTACCGCGGGGGCAGTGGGAGTGGGAGGGAGGCAGGCTGTGAGCCCTGCAGGCTGGGGGCGTGTGCTCGCTCTGCCCAGGCTGTGGGGTCCTGGCAGGCCAGGTAAGAAGCAGGAGGAAGGAGGGGGCTGGCAGCATTGGGGTCAGAAGAAGAGGGAGCAGAGCGTTGATAGGCTTCCTGTGGAGTGGCCAGGCCAGTATGGCGGGTGCCCATCAGCCCTGACCCCCGTGGTGGACGTGCTGGGCTTCTCCCCAGGCTGGTCCTCCCATACGTCCGGCACCTGAAGGGAGAGGACGACAAGCCGCTGCCCCCCACCAAGCCCAGGAAACAGTACAAGATGCCCAAGGAGCCGCCGGGGGATGATGGGGCCACCGAGAGGCCCAAGAAGGCCAAGGAGGAGAGGCAAGTGGACCAGGTGAGCGCCAGGCCTGCAGGAACGTTCATCGACCATCAGAGGGCAGCACTTGCAGCCTCGCCAGGCCTCCACCCAGGACTGTGCACGCTGCTCACTGCTCAGGGGACCCTGGGATGAGCAGGGTGCTAAAGCCAGCTTGCTCCCCTCTCCGCCGGCCTGGCTCCTGACACGAGGGCTCACAGTGGCCCAGGGCAGCCCTCTGGGACCCTGCTGTCACCGAGGTGCCCGGGCAGCTGCCTGACTTGTCCCCAGCTCTGAAGCATCCTCCTTTTTTGCTCTAGATGGTGCCAGAAAAGGCCAAGACAGATGCCACGGACCGAAATCAGCTCCCCAGCAAGGATGCCCCCAGGGACAGTGCCGGCCCAACCCTAGCACCCACTCTGCCTCTTGTGGGGGCCAGCTGCTGCCCTGAGGCCTACAAGCGGCTCCTGTCTAGCTTCTACTGCAAAGGGACCCAGGGCATTATGTCACCGCTGGCCAAAAAGAAGCTGCTGGCCCAGGTGAGCAAGGCAGAGGCCTTGCGGTGCCAGGAGGAGGGCTGTCGCCATGGGGCGGCTGCCCCTGATAGGGATCCCAGGGCATCCCCAGCTGCCTGTCCCCCTGAGAGCCCCCAGAACCCAGGGGGACCAGCTGAGAACTCCAGGCACCGATTGAGCCCCCAGGAGGGAGTGCAGACCCCAAGGGGCAGCCTCCAGGAAGAGCCTCCAAGCGGCCTCTGCCCCACAGCCCCCGTCTTCACAGGCCACTTCCACACGTACCCCACCGAGGTACTGAAGCCCATCACCCAGCACCCCCGGGACTTCTTTCCCAGCCTGAAAGATGGGGTGCTGTTGGGCCTATCTGGCAAAGAGACTGGGCTGCCAGCCAAGGAGTCCCAGCTGGTGTGGGGTGGGGACATCAACCGCCCCTCTGCGTTCCACAAAGGCGGTGTCAGAAGGGGCAGCACCTACCCCAAGCCTAAGGCCTGCTGGGTGTCCCCCATGGCCAAGGTCCCTGCCGAGAACCCCGGGGCCCCGGCTGCCGTCCCTGGCAGCCCTGGCATCCACGGCAAGCGCCACCTGGAGGAAGAGGGCTTTGCACATGGCGGCAAGAAGCTTCGGGCTGTGCCTCCCTGCTTCAAGCAAGTGGACACCGAGGAGTGTGGTGCCAAGCCCTCAGGACTGGGGGTGGCGGTGCCCTGCCTGCTGGATCCAGCCTTGAGGCCAACTCCCCGAGAGGCCTACCGGGCCACCATGCTGCACTGCCCACTGAAATTCACCAGTCCATCGGATCCCTTAAAGGGCCAGGCTGCTCTCCCCTTCAGCCCCCTGGTCATCCCAGCCTTCCCAACCCACTTCCTGACCACTGCAGCCCCCTCACCCATGGCTGCGGGCCTGATGCCCTTCCCTGCTGCGTCCTTCCACGGCACCCTCCGCCACAGACTCTGCCCAGCCTCGTCTGCATGGCACGTGCCGCCTGCCACAGCCTACGCCACACCCTTCTTCCACCTCAACACCAAGCTGTAGGCCGTGCCGCAGCTGTGCTGTGGAGGAGCCGACTCTGCCCAGGAGGGGGCGGGCACTCCCGGAGGAGTGCTTGGGGCTGGAGCCCTCTCCCCAGGGCACATGGGCTGGACCTCACGCTGGGACAAGCGAAGAGGAAGGAGTGGAGAAACAGCCTGCCTCCAGGAAAGGGGACCCACGGGGCCGGGACCCAGCATCTGCAAGGCCTTAGGAGGAAATAGGCAGGAGCCCAGGAGCGAGGAGGGTCCAGGGAGCCAGGTGGCAGCTCTCTGCACCCAGGTGGCCCACCTAAAAGCCAATAAAAGACACCAATGCGAACGCCAGCCAGTTCCATGGCCTGCTTTCCAGGGGTGGGTGTGGCCAGCTGAGCTTGGGGCTACCTGTGGGATGATGGGCTTGTGGCTGGAGGGCACCACATCACGGTCAGCCCAGGCCAGAGCAGAGCTCCACCTTGTCTGCGTTAGGCTCACTCAACAGCCATCCAGTCGGTCCTGCCATAGGGACCCTGTTTAAAAAATCAAGTCAAGCGCAGGGCCATGGAGTCAGTGGAACCGGGGAGAACGGCCCCTGTGGGTTTCTGAGACTAACTCTACAGGAGTCTTTCTCCTGCGCAGCATGTGGTGGGTTCGAACTGCCGACCTTGCAGATGGTAGCCCAACACAACCACTAGTCACCACCAGAGCACCTCCAGTGACCTTATAGGACAAAGGAAAGCTGCCCTTGTGAGTTTGTGGGACTGTCAATCTATGGAAACAGAGCCTCATCTTTCTCCCAAGGAGCGGTTGGTGGTTTTGAACTGCTGCCCCGGCCGTTAGCAGTCCAATGCCTATCCCACAGGCTTTGAAATCCTTTCTGGCTGTTCAATCCATTTCCTTCCCCACAACTAGCTGTCACCTCTCTCACAGTACCGGTGGAGAATCAAGCTCAGAGAGGTTCTGTAACTCGGTCCCCAATCCTCCATGGGCCAGTGTCGGCCAGAGCTGTGACACCCCCCTCTCCAAGCTGAGCCACTGAGCCTGGGCACCAGGGCAAGCTCAGCACTGGTAACGCTACTGCTGGGGGCAAGGGGACACCCTGGGGAGGCCTGTCACAGAGCCATCCTGGAGGCCGCCACCACCTCAGTCCCTCACCCTGGGAACCAGCTCCCCACTCGGTCCTGGGAGGGGTGGCCCAGAAGGTGCAGGGTTAAAATGGCGGTGGGCTCCTGGGGAGAGGGAAGGAAAGGTGGGACCCAGGCTCCACGCTGGGAGCACACGGGCCTCCCCAACTAGGGGTTCGTGAAAAGGTGGTTGTTTTAGAGAGTTCACTAAACATGAGAAGCGCTTTCCCTCCCATAGGTAGGGGGGTCCCTCAGAGCCACCCCCACCGTCACCCCCTCCTAGCCACAGGCTCCCGTTACACTCAGGGAAATGGCAGCTCCCCGAGCTTCACACCTAGCCCTTCCCTGAAAGGTGGTGTCTGACCCTGTTGCTGGGGTGGGGAAGGGGTGCATGCTAGGTGACAGGAGCTAGGCCCCGTGGCCTTGGATGGGTCAGTGGGCAGCCTCTGGTGCATTCTCTTGGGCCACCCTGCCTCCCAGGGCATATGGCTGAGGGGTTGCTGTAAAGGGACCTTTGGTGTGACCTCCTGATCTTAGGTGAGGGGGCAGACAGGGAGGTCTTGCTTGCCCAGGGCCACCACAAAATATGGCTAGACCCTGACCCCAGGCGTAGCTGACCTGCTTGGCACCAAGGGCTGGGCCACCAGGTTCAAGCAGGCACGGAAGACCTGCCTTCTCCAGCGCTAGCTCCACGGCTCTGGGGTCTGCGCCCTCCCAGAGATGCTCAAGTGGCAGCCGCAAGACTGCCCCGTACACCCATGCGCTGCCCATCTCTGAGCCTCTGGGAACAAAGGAGAAGGGCACCGGATGCTCACGTGCCCCGGGGCTGGGCCATTGTAGGTCATGGGGTCGGACACCCTGGGTAAAAGGGAGCTGAGACCTACCTTGTGTGCTGGACCCTGCCTGAGATGGGACACTCCCCCTGTATCTGGGAAGCAGCAACTGCAGTACGCTGGCAGTGCTCAGATGGGAGAAGACTAACCTGGAGGCGGGCAAGCTTCCAGGAAGTGAAGAGGTGGGGTAGCGGCGCCCTCTGGAGGCTGGTCTGGAGAGTACAGGCAGGTCCTGCTTAGTCAGAGAGAAAGCGCCCAGAGCTCCCTGCAGGTGCTGCGTGCTGATCCTCCTGCGCCTGTCATCTGCAGCTCCGCCAGGCAGAGCCTCTCAGAGTGTCTGGTGGGGACTAGAGGCAGCTTTACCTGCCTATTCTTAGTCTGGAGAGGCATTGCCAGCACTGCTTACAAATGGGGAAACTGGGCTCTTGGGGAGATGTCATGGCTGGTTGTACGGCCAGAGCAGGTGGGTGCTGTTTGCTTTCCGATCCTTTGCGGGGACTCTGGCCCTGGGACCCTCGGCAGGCAGCACATCTCTGGGGCAGAAGCTGTCTCAAGGCCATCTTTAGGACAGCTTTCTAATGACAAGGAGCCACGAGGTGGGTGGTTTCAAACTCACTACCTGCTCTGCAGGAGGAGGAGGAGGCTGTCTGCCCCCATGAAGACGTACAGTCTCAGAAACCCACCACTGGGTAGCTCTGCGTGCGTTTGGTGAGGCTGGTTCTCAGGCTGCGCTGGGACCTCTGAGCTGCGAGTGGAACTGGTGAATGGATACACCCCTAAAAAGGACCCTGTCTGTTTCTGCGGCCCCAGCCCCCTCAGGAAGTTTAGGTGTCAGGTCAGGCCTCAGGCATGCCACACACACTTACCGGACATCTCTGATCTGGGGGCCGGCCCTGTTTGAGGTGTGGCAAAGAGACATTATTGGCAGAATATCCAGTCCCTGCCCCGGAGGAGCTGAGCTCCTGGGGCAGACAGAGATTGGGGCCACAGAGAAAAGGGGGGCTGAGAGTGTGGCTTAAAACAGGAGAAGACGGTATTCGGGTGGTCTGGAGGAGGTGGGGGAGGCTGCCATGCAACGTTGAAGGAGGAGGAGGAGGTGCGAGGGAATAGCAAGGCCCTGGGGTGGGGGGTGGGGGCAGACAAGTGTGTCTGAGGGACACACAGGTGGGGTGGGAGCAGAGAGTGTGTGAGGAGAGTAGAGGCTGGACTTGAAAGGTGGTTGAAGCCAAACGGACAGCGCCTCGGAGCCTCTCAAGTGCTGGCGATGCTGCTGGGTAAGCATTACACTGCTGGCCGCAAGGTCTGTGGTTCAACCCCACCAGTCACTCCTCAGAGGAAGTGCAGGCTATCTGCTCCCATAAGATCTGCAGGCTCAGACTCCTCAAGGCCATGGGCATGGGCTGGCCGATGGGGGTTGTCATTGCCACTAGCTGCTGTCAGGTCAGTTCCCACTTGCAGTGGCCCCGTGTGTCACAGGGACTTCTTCGCCGTTGTCGTCACGGGAGCAGATCGCCAGGCCTTTATCCCGTGGAGCCACTGGGCGGATTTGAACCGACAGCCTCACGGTGAGCAGTCAGCACAGTTGCCTCATCTTTGGGAGGCTTGAAAGGAGCCCTGGTGGTTTAGCAGGTCACACACGTCGGGCTACTAACCACAAGATCAGCCGCAGGGCGGCTGCTGTGTCCTCAGTAAGCAGGGAGTGCAGGTGAGTGGGGGTGCAGGTGGTATGAGGGGAGGCCCGGGGAGTAGTACCCTCAGGGGGGCTGTGCCCAAGCCCCTGCTCACCTCGGGGACTCGCATTATGTGAGGCTACTTTTCCTGCCACCTGCAGCTGCCCTGGACTCAGCCAGCTAGGAGTTGTCTCTGTGTTGAAATGACACGATTTCACTGTGTTTTCTGTGAAACTTTCCACGAGAAATTAGGTTCCCGGCTGACAGTTCCTACACAGATTGTTCCACGGCATCGGTGACGTGTTTCAGTGTGAGTGACAGTGCGACGGCCCACCTTCCGGATCAACCACAAACCAGCCCAACTTGCTGCTGCCGAACCAATGCCGATTCACGGCGACCCTGTGGGATGGGGTGGGACTGCCTGCCCCTGTGGGTTGTCCAGCCTGCCCGGCCCGTCTCTTCCCTCGTTTGCTTTAGAGTGAAGGTCGGCTCTGGTCTCACAGGGATGGCTCTGGATAGAGGCACCCCTTGACCATGGGCGACCGTCAGTGATTTTTCTAAAAGGCGGCCTTGGGAGCGAGGCCGCTGGAGGGTTGCAGGGTCTTTCCAAACAGTAGTGGGAGGGGAGCGCTCCTGGTTCAGGAGATCTAGACTTCCAAGCATTTGGGGTTCCTCATTCTTCCCCCACTCTGTCGGGGCCCACCTATGCAGCCCCTGGCCCCGGTAGAGGTTTGTATGACACAAGAGAGGGGAAGGGGGTTCAGAGAAGGATCCCCGTGGCAGGCAATGGGACCCGGCTGGGGGCGGGAGAAAGCGAGGATCAGAGGGAAGAGGGCCCGAGGGCCAGCGGTCAGACTGAGGGTGCCAGAGGAGAGCTGGGAAGATGAGAGGTGTGTGCAAATGGCAGGGCTGGAGGCCCACCGAGGTGGGGTGCTTGGAGGAGCAGAGGCCGGGGAGAGGCCAGCCAGAAGAGTGCCATCTCCGTGGCTAGAGGAGGGCCAACGGACGACCGAAGCAGGGAGGTGAGGGGGACCGGTTGTCTGGGGTCATGAGTACTCGAGTCTGGAAGGGGGACATCCACCCACCTCAGGGCGGTGGTGTGGGGGGGCACGTGGGTCCCAGGGCACACTGGGGTGAGCGGCTGCTGGGAGACCCGACAGGTAAGGGAGAGATTTCCAGGACAGATTCAGACTCAAGTCCAGTGCTTAGCTTGACCCGTGTGATGATTTTAAATCCTAATGAGAAGCCAGGATTTCACAAGTCAGATTCCACATGAAAACTCGGCCACTGAGACTTCTCAAAATCAGCACTCTGGCTCGGTGGACACTTCCTGGAGCTGGTTAGGAAATGTTGCCACTTTACACATGGGGGTGTCTTCCCCGTTTGCCACAATCTTCATCAACCACCTCAGGTCCCCCACCTGAGTTGACAGGAGGGTCCACCAGCATCTTGCACCAAGCCCAGCACAGCGACACACAGTGTGACCCCCGGAACAGTGGCATCTCCAGCCTTCCAACAGGAGCCCTGCCCAGTGTGGACACTAGGGGGCAGCACTCTGTTGTCTCCGAGGGAAAGGGCTGCTGGTCAGTTTTCCGTGCAAATGGTCCCAGGAATTTCACGGCTGGACATCCCAATGGTTTCCAGAAATGGAGGAGGGCAAAGCCGGGACATCATGATGTCCCCTTGTGGCTGGGGTCCGCTGGACAGCAGTGGCCAGAGTA